GGGGGGGGTGGCGGCTGCCATTGAGCTTTCCATTCGCGATATGCTAATTTTGATGATAAATTAGTTAAAATATTTCAACTGGTTTACATAATTAGTGGAGAAAAAAATGAAAATTTTGTTGTCAAGCTAAAATTTGTTGGGTTTGGCTGCTTTAAAATTTTATTGTTGAATTTTAGTAAAGAGTAAATTTAACTGAAAGTGAGGCGCGCTTTTGACAATAATTTCAATTAATGAGTATCTCTGCTTACTGTCAGCATTAGTCCCGCACAACCGCAGGGTTGCTTTCGTGTATTTTTTTCGCGCTGAAACCGAATCCAGCACCACGTCAGATTTTTGAGATATCCTAACCTAAAAGTGCAAAAATTAATATTTATTGACGTATTTAAGGTTATGTAGCAACGCAACTTTTTCATAAGAAAATTATACCGAGATTTTAAAGTATAATTCTTTCTCTCTTGAATGCCGTTGAGTTTGCTCAACAATCTTTTTTTGCCGAGTAATCGCATGTTGAAATTTTTGAAGTTTTGTATTATTTGTTTCTTATAATGCATACTAAGAATATTTGTTTGTTGCCGGTCTTTTACGAGTTTTTTCATATAGAACGTGCAACTTGGAAAAACTCAGCCAAAAATCCCTAAAGCTTCTACTTAATATTGTTGACACAACTGAATGACCAAATGTTACATTTTATTCTCACACATGCCGCATGAGAAGGCTTCGTGGAAACATACGTAGATGAGAACAAATGAGAATTTTCGCACTGCAAATATGCTCATGAGAACAAAATACCAACGTGGAATCCGTGTGTGTGTAAACGCCCATGAGAATACTTTCAATAAAAAATCGGCATTCTCTGGATAATTACTCTCATCGGTTACGAGGACCTTTACATAAACAGCTGCAGTCAATAAAAGCATAAACAGACGGCAGCGTTGATCCGAATCAGCTCGGGAATTAACTGCAGTAGATCCGGATTAAGTTCCGAGTTAATCCGGATCAACGCTGCCATCTGTTTAAGCTTTAAGATACATAGTAGCAAAATTCAAAATTATGTTGTTTGCAACTTATATTTATTTATTAACTTTTAATAATTTTAATTTAAAATATAGTTCGATCTGTCACAGAAACCTCATAAATAAAAGTTTCAAATGTTGCACAGAGTTCACAAAAATTAATCGAACTAAAAAAAAAAAATTCATCGAAATTTCAAACTTTTTATTCAGAGCTTTAAGAAAATTTTTGAATATGCCATTTTGTAGCTCATTCAATTTTAGTATAATAAAGCGCAAGTTATAAGTCACTAAAAATTATCGTTGATTTTTTAGATTTTTTTCCTAGAGGGTTTTTAGCAATTTCCTCCATATAAAATTAGATTTTGTTCATCTTTGGAATTGGGATGAAATGTTTGCGGAAATTTTATAATTTTTGTAGGCTACCTCTATAGCGTATCACCGGTTCTTGTTGAGCTTGTTCAACACTTTCGATGCCCTGAAATACCCGACGCGCAATGCAACTATAGCAGTTGGGAACCAGCCAACGGCACACAACCTCCAAAGCCTTATTTCCGTTCATATTTCCACAATTTATTTTCGGATTTTCATAATCTTGTTTGCATATTTTAATTAGGTTCAGTAAAATAATTTTGTCGGTCAATCTTCAAAACAAAAAAAAAAAAAATATTTCACCCCAACTTTCACCACCCCCTTAGCTGCAGCCAACTACCTCGGACGTGATTTGTTCGTCCTCGCTTGTGTGTGTTAAATAGCATTTGCGAAATCTCATTTTGCATGTCTACTAAATATGTATGTATGTACATAAAAATAGGTACATACATACATATATGTAGTAAGCGCATATAAGCATAAACCATCGCGTAAAGCGTAAACTATACGCGTATGTGTGTATGTAGTTTTATGTACTTGTTGTTGCCCACAGGCGAAATGCTCTTTGCATTTTCGAGTGCAAAACTTGAAATTGAATTTCAAAATTCAATTAAAGTTAAAGATAACAAATTAACAAACAAACAACATTGCAGCCGAATTGACTAAATAAACAGATTCGGAACAATGCATGCACACACACACACACACATACATATGTACATATATGCAAATATAATACATTTAAAGTGTACAAGCAAAACATTTTCCGCCCGAGTGCATTTTAATACAATACAATTATGCTTAATTACGTACACATGTCGTTTATGTGCGTTACAGTGCGTACAATAATTACGCATACGAGCACAGCACAACACCAGTCACGTACAATAAAATCGTACACCGCCAATTCGATTTTATTGTGCGAAAACGAATACATATGTATGTGTGAAAATAAGTAGGCATCTGGTTTTAGAAATGTTTTGTAGTCATTTCCAAAGGCTTTCTTTCAGTGCGTTGAAATACGAGCCGATGTGCGTGATATTGAGGACAATCGTTGCAATCCTATGTATGTGTTTGAGTGCTTCTGCTGGCGTGGGTGGGGCAGTCAATAACAAGAGGGCGGCGTAGTATATACATTAGGGCGGGTATTAAGGGCGCGTCTTTAGCGCAGAAAGATTACACAAAATACCTGGAGGTAATACTGGATATCAAACTGTCAAGTATATTTGTATGGTTCTTTACGCATGTGATGGGGAAGCGGTCAGGTGTGCTAGAAAGGGATCTGAAATAAGACTGGAGGAAGCGATCCAGATCCTGCGATATCTATCTTCAGAGGTAGAGAGAGTGACCAGGGTAGCTACCAGCAGTAGGTGGTATCGCACTCGCTCTGGCCAGGGCTCGACGATCAAAGAACACAGAGTTTGTTAAAGCGCTCAAAAATAAACGATAGGCTTCTCACAGGAATACTAATGGGATACTGGGCCATTGGCCACATGGCCGCCCATTTCGAAGCGCCGTATAACGATTTATGCAGAAGTTTTAGAGTGTCCAGCACTCCGGAGAAAAAGACCTCAAATTTCTAGGGAATCACGTCTTCGAGTTCATAGATATCTTAGAGAAAACCGCACTGAAACTTCTGCTAGGATTTGCTAGAGAATCAGTATGGTTTAAAGACATATAGGAAAAGCATTGGGAAAACCTCTGGGCATCGCAATGGGCCTCTGTAGCCTCCGAGTGAACTCTTTTCAGAGCATAACCTAACCTAACCTAACCAACGCATGCAAACATAATACTTCTCCCCGATATCTATTCATTATATCGCTACCCTGACGGAAAAAAGTGATTTTTTTTTTTTTTAAATCAACTAATTGTAAAACTTCTTTGAAACAAATGCAGTGAGTAAATGTTTCGAATTTTGATACCCTTTTTACCCAAAGAAATAATTTGTGTCATGAAAGTTTGAAAGAGCATTTGTGAAGTGCAGAACGAAAGCGTATTCAAAAGAAACTCACTGACTTTGAAGTGCTTTAATTCAAATGCATTTTAATAGTTCAATAGTTTCAATAGTTGTAATCAAATGCAAATTTGGACAATCGACTTGCTTCTTGCACACAATTCAAACTGAACATTTGTAAGCACTCTTACATGTCTGGCTTTAGCTGAGCGTGCAGAGATGCTTGCTGTTGCTTGTTAGCTTCCGGAAGGTCCGGAGAGGCAACATGTGAAACTAATAATAAATTTAGTTTTTGAAAAGGCATGTGTGAAGTGCAGAACAAAATCGTATTCAAACAAAACATATTGACTTTGAAATGCTTTAAGCCTAGGACATCGCCATGTTAAATAAATCAGTTCGTTGCAGGGGAAAAATTGAGAATTTCAATTATTTGTTATTGAAAACAAAAATGGTGGATCTATTGGAATGTATGTAATAGACATTTACAAATGTGAGTTGATTTGTCAAGAGTGATGTCGATGTGTCCCGCGTTGCTTATAGTAGGTACGAAGCCTCCTCATACCGACCTAAACCACAATTAAACAACTAAATTCTTAAGTCATTTGATCGTGCAAAATATGGTTACTGAGTTATTATTTTTTTTTTTTGTAAACCAACGAGAACAAAGTTTTTAAAATAATTAATCATCAAACCACTTCTTGTTGACTCAATTGGCTACGTTTACCCTAACAAAATACACAAGATGTCTCGTCACCTATGTTAATATCATTGCTGATTACAAAGTCTGAACACTTAAGTAGAAAAACGGTTCAAAACTTATCTACAAAATTAAATATTTACATTCGGTTAAGGAAGTGTCTCACGCTCGTTTCGATGCATTAGTCATACACTGTAAAAATATTTGGCTTTGTTTATCATTTGTTATATTTTCCCAGCTTTAGGACGCCAACCCTTTTCTGCTTGAGGTATATATGTATTTATAAAAAAAAATACATATGTATGTATGTATAAACGTGGTGATATCTTAGAAGCTGTCATTGCAGGTATTACCACTTTCTTTGCATTAAAATAAAAAAAAAAGAAGGAAATTAACCGCATTTATTTATGCCTTTTCACGGCTTATCGGCGGAGCATATCTCGCTTTCATACACACACACACACACACACGCAAGTAAACACTTAAGCAAATATGTATGTAGTAGAGTGGTATTTAGTTAATGAGTGTGCGTTAAGAATTTTTATTTATTATTATGATGGATATATTTTTGTACTGATAAATGTACTTTATGTAAATATGTATAAATGTTTGTGCGGTTGCATGGACGCATGATAACATAATTCAATAATTTACGGCCATCTGAACACATTTGTGCTGTAATGCATAAAAAATGTATGTGTACCTACATACAAACACAAGTATACGAGTACCTTACCTACCACACTGTTGCGTGCCTGCATTCCCCTGGATATGGAGAAATATATTTGAATTTAGATCGATGTATGTATGTATTAGAGGTTTACGCCGACAGGCTTTGCGGCGGCGGCGTGGTCAGCTTGAAAAAGAATCGGCGGCGGCGGCGACGCCGGCGCGTCTGAAAACGCCGGCGCTACTGCCCATTAAGTAGATTCAAAATAGACATAAAGCTACTAATCTTATCATGTCATCTCGTCAGCGTTAGGCATTGGCCATGCCAATTCAGATTGTAATTGTATTTAATTAATTCATTGAATTAGTTTTAAATTAAAATCACGTTACTTTCTACTTGAATTAAAATGTTGAGTGTCTGCTGCTGATGGATGGGCAAACAGAAGAAAGTCCGACGTATATAAATAAATACATCTCTATGTTCTCTACAAATCCGTATATGTATACTACTGAAATTTAAAGAAATAAAAAAATTTTAAATGTTAAGTTATTGGGGTAATTTATGTTGCTATCAAAATTTTTTTGCAATAATCTTATCATCCGTTATGTTAAATTACGGAGTTGTTACGATTCTTTGCGGGTCATATGTATATTGAAAACAAGGTTTGGTCAACTTCCACCAGAACGGGCCTTTCTGGCCACTTATAGGTAGCTAAAATATCCACTAAAATATTAAGCGCCAAATTTTTGTAAGGAGAACTGAATGTAATGAAAAATAATAGTAATTTTTACGAAAAATGGGGACTTTAACCCTGTGTAGAAGACATTGCGATGCGCGGGAGCAAACGCCTCCTGGGATTTGACCACCACTTGGGAACAGGGCTTCCAACTATACTTAGCTATGAAGTGCCATATTGAGGATAAAAAAGTGCCAAAATGTGCCAAATAGAAAAATATAACGTGTTACCTATGTTTTTTCTGAGTTACGCTTTTTTGGAAATGTTCAGTGGCCCAAATTATGCGAAATAACTCCTTTAAAAATTTAATCCTCTTTTCGTAAAATAGTGTCTTTATACGAGTAGTATTTACTTCCTTCAAACGATGTATTTTAATGTGCATACATCATGAAAATTTTGTACAAAATTCCTTAGGCGCCGAACGCCGCCGCCGCCGCCGCCGCGCCGATATTTACGTAACTCGGCGGCGGCGCGTGAGAAATGACAAAAAACGGCGGCGGCGGCGGCGTGGCTCGGCGGCGTATACCTCTAGTATGTATATACCTACATAAATTTCTACATATGCATACATATGCAATGACATACAATGTGGCAAAGAATTTAGATGTCTTTACTTGCCACATATTCATGAATTCTTTTCTCAGCCGCTAACAGTAGTGGTCATAAAATTGTAGACAAGTGGTTGGCAGCATAGAAACAAATCTGTTTATGTAAGATCAAGCATTTTCTCAAAGATCAATCTTCTGCGTAAGATGGCGATAACTCGTGCCGACTTGAAGTATAACTTTATGCCATGTTTCCGATAATAAAGTTCAAATGTAGTCAATCTACGTTTTTAATGTTACAATATTCTTTTGAAAAATAAAAAAATGTGTTCGTTTTCTATTTGTTGTTTAGTCTCAAGTTACGTCGATATGCATTTCTGCAAAAAATCCCTGCCCAAATCCCTTCAGTTCTCATTTTCAAGAGCGAATCAGATCAAGATTAGGTTAGGAAGACGGGTGCGATTAATTCGACTTGCCCATTGTGAATGCCCTCTATGACTGCCAGGCAGAGTCGAAGTTATTTCATATGGTATAGTCAATAATTCTTCAGTACGACTGTTATTAAGTCTCGGCCATAATTATCTTGAGACCTCACAGTCATTGATTTTTCGACCCTCCTTAGTGGACAAGCAATCGCTATTTTGCATTTCTGAGCCGATTGCAAAGATTATTTCGTTCCCTTCGATAGTGATATGTTCAGAAACCCAGCGGAGAAAAGTGACTCCCAACATTTCCGAACTATTTTCGACTTTACTACCTTGGAGCTTAACGTTTTCAGTGTCGCCTCGCAGACGTTCCCTGAATAGTAAGCCATATGAAATAATCCACCTTCTCTATGGCAAAGATCTGCACCTGAAAGACACTGCGGTTATCAGACAAGCGATATGATTGCGTTTTCTACAGGTCCTTAGAGTACAGACCCGAGCGGCTCCTTTTTTATCTTTTAGCCATCGGTGTAGATAAAAACACCACCATTCACTTACAGTAGACCGCCGTCCCAATCTTCCCTAGTTGGAAATGTATAGGGATCTCAAGACTAAAATGCCAATTTGACGTGGGGTAATCAGTTGCGACATCTAAGTCGGCCTTGATTCCGATACGCCGTCCACAAATTTTTTCTTTTGCGCAGCGCTTGCTACGAAAGATCAGGTTTAGCCCCATAGTGAGTTTCTGTATTCTTCCAATCAATTTCAGACTGCTGCTTTTATTCAGTGCTTTCCATCAGACCAGCTCTTCATAGGTTAAAATCGATCGGATGGCTGAGGTGTACAAAGCGTGAGATATGCGTTGGAAGCCCTTAGTTTTTCCCGAAAGCCCAAAACCGTGACTTGATGACTTTATATGATAGGACATTATGCCGTCGTTCTCAGACCACATCTAGCTTAGCAAATTTTTTGTATTTCATCCATTTCTCATTGAGTGTTCTCATTTCTGTGATCGCCGCTGTATGTTTGCTTATTTATCGCGTATGTGTGTCGACTGGCAAGTATCTACATATGTATGTCGGAGGGTTTGCCTCTTTGCAGCTGCGCGCACCTTTGTGGGTCTGGTTGCGTCTTGGGAAAATGGGTGTGCGTGCGTGTGTGCTTTTATTTTTTATTTTTCCTCTGCTTTTTGTTTTTGTGGGGCAAATAGTATTAGCATATATCAATGCCAGCGCAAATAAATCATTAATAAAATTTTGTTCTCTTCTACCGTTTTTTGTGTACGTTACAGATACGAACGAGCAACAAGCAATAAGTGCCGAAACAACAACAACAACAACAACCGCGGAAAGGTAAATAACAAACAACAACTGCAGCAGCAGAGTCCACATTCAGCCTACTACTACGGGCACTACACTGCACCTCAACGCTTACGCACGCACAGCTTGCTGCTGCCGCTCGCGGGGGGACTTTGGAATGTTGCTGCAACGAGTCGCACATTTTCACGCCGTATATTGCTGCCTCTGCTGCCAGTGACAAGCCGACGTGCAACTGACTTGGCTGGAGCCACTTTGGCCAACAAACTGCAAACTGCAATCGTTCTGAGGCGAACCAGAGAGTGTGTGTGTGTGTGGGTGTGTACATTGCTGCAGCCAGCCGTGCAGTGGCGCAGAGGAGCAAGCAGTGAGCCCCGGAAGGCAGCGCACAAGCGAGTAGTTGTAGTGTCAGTTTATCAGCGTGAATAAATTTCGAAAGAAATTTTTATCAATGTGCTACAAGCAACTAAAGCAACAACAACAACAACAATAAAGAAGAAAGATAAAATAAAATAAGCGAGGGAGAAGTGAAGCGCAGAAGTGAGAGTGGGTTAAGCCAAAGTGGGGCGGCAAACAAATTGAACCGATTCAAGTGGGCAAATTTGTTGGAGCGCTCATTTGTTTTCTTTTTTTTTTATTTAGTGCATTTCTTTTAAGTGAGTGTGTGCTACTTTCTTGAAATTCAGCAGCCATAAATAAACCAAAAGTTATGCAGCAGCAGCAAACAAACGCACCTACTCATACCGCCGACTGGTTTGTTTATAAGCATATGTGTGTGTATGTGTCTGAAAATGCAAACAGACAAATGTCTACAACTGTGTACACGAATAAAAGAGAAGTGGAATTGAGCTGAGTGCGGCAAGGCAAAGAAAAGAGGCAGCAAGCAATTGGGAAATTGTAATAAAAAATATCATAAAATCGGAAAAGCAGCATGAACTAGAATAAACAAAAAATAAGAAGTAGAAACTGAAAGTAGTAAACTGATGAAAAAAATAAATTTAGAAATATAGAAAAGAAATAGTTATAAATTGCATTAAGGAAATCACGTGAAGCATTCAGTTGCGACTGAAATTGAAAGTAAACTAAAATATAAAAATAGAA